CATTAACTGATGGACTGGAGGGGTGTGGATTACTTGTGGATTATTGTGATGTTTTTATCAGCTGTTTGGACTCTCATTCTGACGGCACCCATTCACTGCAGAGGATCCATTGCTGAGACACTGATGCAATGCTACATTTCTCCAAATATGTTCTGATAAACAAACGAACTCATCAACACAAAATTTCCTCTTTTGGAAAGTCACAGAAATGCTATTGAGGATTTTTTTACAAAAAATATATTTTTTTGTATATTGTTCTTGTTTTTTTGTATATTGTTCATAGTTTACCCAAACTATGTACTACCTTTCTGCTTCTGAGAACCCCGCAAATGTGAAGAGGATCTTATTAATAAATTACCACAATAACTTCAAATAACTGCAGCAGTCTCTGTGAACAGTTGTACTTGTACTGTAACGAAAATTCACAGAAGAATTCAGCAGAAAATGTCTTTCTTTCCAAATGTAATAAGTACTCATTATTCCACATAAATAATTCAAAAACAAAGCACTCCTGGATTTCTAGTTTACTGGCTCATAAGTGTATCAAGCCAAACTCAAAACTCGATTCCATAAAGCTCTCAAACTTTGGCAAATCCAATGATTATTCCATCAAAATGCAATAAAAATCCCAATACAGCCTTGAGCGATTATTAAACCATAAAATGCTGTGATTTTGTTCAATAAATATGTAGACTGCAGGCTCTGTATGCTTCAAATGATTCACCTTAAGTGCATTCAAGTTCAGTCTCATAACTACAAAATATTTCTGAGAGCTAGAAATAACTACAGGAGAATTTAATATTCTGGAGGTTTTAATTTAATGACCTGGTGAAAACTCTCAGCATTGACAAAACACGACTTCATTTGGAGACATTGCTGACTGGTTTGTGTTTTTGCACACTCTGCTGAACATTAGAACTGCTGTTTCTCAATGAGATTTCATGCATTTTTCTCTTTCAGCCTTGGTAAATATGCAGCACCAATATGAGATTTTAAATGCTTATCGTATTTGCCAAAATGTGACTCAGGTCCTAAACTGTCTAGTAGACTTTTAAAAACCTTTGGTGTCTGCTCAAAATACTGAAACTACATTTTAGTAAAGTACGTTGCTAACACAAAACCAAAAGTTTCTCCACGTAGCAAAGTAAAAGGATAATTCAGACACTTCCCAACTAAAGTAATTTAAGTGCTTCATCAAATATACATGATATATTTCTGTAATGGATGCTACATATGTCCCGTGACGTGATAAAGAGGATTAAATAGAGAAACTGCATAAATCATGTGAGCAGTAGACAGTGAAGGCCCTATGTAGGTCTCTAATATGCAAATACATTATGCTGAGCAGATTTAATACAAACAGCACCATTTTGTCTGGAATTAATATTTCATGGGCCTCCAAGCAAACATGGATCTGTAGACTACATACTGTAAAAACCATATGAAGAAACTCTGTGTGCACCATCAGAAGCTAAATCATTATGGTGAACTTTAAGTCAAGTCAAGTGATAAGGTTATGAGCAGTTTGGGCTCTGATAAGAAGTGCAAAAACACATTTTAACTGCATTTTCACTGGGGAAATCTGCAGAATGTATTTTAGCATGGTAAAATGAGTTAAATGAAGCTGAAAGCAGCATGCATGCATGTATATAACCAATGAACTGATAAGAGGGATGCATCTGAGTGACATGTAAAGTGATCAATCACAGTTTGCATTTTATGTAATCAAAAGTTCCTCTTATCAGAATACAAGCTCACATCAGTGATATTAAGTCAGTAATATTATAGTTCAAAAAAGCATAGTTGTATAAGTGTCACTCTGACATCTGAGCATGTGTGCGGCAGACTGTCTCATCTGAACTCACTGCATGAGCTCAATCACATCGCATGAGGAGCTCTGCTAATGCATCACAGGCGTCCGGGGTGTGAAGAGGGCATGAGATGGGCAAACTGGTATCATCAAGGCCTCTTCCAGCCTCATTAAATACCCAGATGGCCGAAGGACCGGTGCAATAATAGAAAGCCGATGTCCCGATCTGAATCAAATGATTCGTGATCCGTGCTCCATAGTTACAATCTACATGTAAATCAAATGATTCGCGATCCGCGCTCTTTTGTCCCGATCTGAATAATGATTTGTGAACCATCATTTCAGATCAAGACTTCGGAGTGCGACATGATTCGCAAACCTGCTCCGAAGTCCCGTTTTGAATCAAATGATTCACAAACCCGCACTGTTGTCCCAATCTGAATCAAATGATTCGCGAATCTGCACCAATGTCCCGATCTGAATCAAATGATTCGCGATCCGCGCTCTGTTGTCCCGATCTGAATAATGATTCTCGAACCATCATTTGAAATCTGGACTTTGGATCGCGGATCGCGAATCATTCAATCAATCTGCTCCGAAGTTCCGATCTAAATCAAAAGATTCATGAATCAAATTATTCACAATATGCGCTCCGAAGTCCCGATCTGAATCAAATTATTCATGAATCAAATTATTCACAATATGCGCTCCGAAGTCCCGATCTGAATCAAATGATTCTCAATACGCACTTTGAAGTCCTAATTTGAATCAAATGATTTGCCATACGTGATCCGATTTGAGCGCTTCAAAACATAATTTTGCGACGCAATGGTTTAACTCGGGAGTTTTGAAAACTAGTCTCACCCATCACTATACGTGCTTTTTAAAATCATTACAAGCGATGTCAATATTCGAAAATGAATGGCTCTTTTGATCTGGTTTTTGCTATTGAAACACTTGAAATGAATGATCAAAGTCACGAGTTTGAATCAATCGGAGCAGTTCCAGTGTAAATGATTCACTCAGTTCAATCGGTTTGTCCGTTCCTACGCTTTTCGCGTCTTCAGTCATGTTTACTCGACACTGTAAGTACTTCTACTGACTTAGCTCGCTAGTTTTATGACATTAACTGAAATAAGTGAAAAAATTATTATGCATAAAATATCCATATTTCCAAAGATAACATCCAACACAAATCTATTAACATAGTCACGCGAGGTAACCGGTTTACTGCTAACTAGTGAAAATACTGCAGAGCTGTACCTCAAAATACAGGTTAGATGGAAACATTCTGCATTATAATAGAGTTGTAACTTAATTCACTATGTTTTAAATAGTTTAAGTTGGTGACAGTTCAATAGGAAATCAGTTGAAAGCATACCACTGAAGTGAATGTTCAATTTATCAGTATATACACTGAACAAAATTATAAACGCAACACTTTTGTTTTTGCCCCCATTTTTCATGAGCTGAACTCAAAGATCTAAAACAAAAGTGTTGCATTTATAATTTTGTTCAGTGTATTATAATAAATATTTGAGAAATTATTGTTGCATCTGATTGTATTATAGAGTGATAATCAATGTAAAAAGAGCAAATGGGAGAAGCAGATGAACACAAAACAGCAGAACAACAAAGTTAAAGAGGGTAAACTTTATCATTCAGCTGAACAGTGCTTGTACATTTTAAACACTTCAGCTCTTTTATGTTCTTACTCTGCTCATGTATTATATGTACCCTCCTTGAATGCGTGCATTTTTCTAGTGTATTTCTTTAACTTCTCAGGTAATATCAATTTTATGACCTATTTCAGATGCAGCCGCAATCACATAACAATGGTTACATACACATATGTTTAACTGCTTAATCAAACATATTGCTAGGGACAATTTAGTAGTTGCTGGATACTGATAAGGACGTCATAGCGTCTCTACTTAATTCTACACTGTTGGACCTTGCAATCGATTTCCCAAGCCATATTCTCGGTTAGATTTCAATTCAGCACTGTTTTGTTGGAAGTTCAGCAGACAAACAATGTAATAAACATCTGTAATAAAGATAAAAACTGCCTTCAGGCTGAAACGTCTTTTTATATTCTATCTTAGGGTGACAGACACAAAAATATACATCAGACGTGTTTGGAAAGCCTGTTCTCTGCACTTTCTTCGTCCTTGAGAGCAGATCTCCTCGTATCTTCACACTTCCAGCGAGAATAATCAAAAGACCGGCATGCTTGTGTCAACTAGAAGCGAAGAACCGGAAAAGCTCATAGACCTGCAGAAATGATATTTGGCCTTGTCTTTATCTGTCGGATCACAGATGGCGGTGGCAGAATGTGAGGTTTATGTGCATGAGAAAACTACATGAAGCCAGATTAGGGTGCATTCGTCAGGCTTAGCGAAAATGAAGCCGTGCTGTCGCTCACTGCGATTTATTAGCCACCCTTGATGGAGATCTCGTCTCTGCTCTCTGCCCTTCAGATCCTTCATATCTGGATGGCACATGCCTGGCCGACTATAATGAAGTTAAATTTAGTTTGGCGGAGGGAAGGTTTATGGTCTGTCGATATGCTGAAATGACTTTTTGCGCACATAAATTGACAAAAATACATTTCAGCTTAATGCAAGTTGATCGTGTTTGAAAGTGACCCGTGTCACAAGAATAACTTAGAAAATTAAACTGCAAATGTTGACTGGACAGTTTTATGTAAAGTATAAAACAAAGTTTCGAAGAGTTTGAAGGTTAGTTTAAAGTTTGAAGTTGTGTAGGCCTTGATGCGTTGCTAAGAAAACTCAAAAACTTGAAGCAACCAACGTCAGGACTTTTGCTTTCAGAAAACAATATGTTATACAAACTCAAAATTACTATTTTTTTTTTACTTGTGGATCCAATTTCAATACTCGTAGAACCTTCTTTGTCCATCTAACTTGTCTTTCAATTTTATTTTAGTATCACCGATACAGGC